TCGGACACCGTTGTGTTTCAGCCGCAAGGCTGGGGTGATTGGTGACTGGAGGTGACTGAAGTTGACTGAAGTTGACTGAAGTTGACCTATCTACCAGCCCTAATAATTGGAACCAGGGCCATTTGGCTTTCCGGTCCCTGATCGTCTCCTTCTGCCCATCCACGTGAAACACTGGTTCAACACAACTGGCACCGATTCTCATCTTTCAGTCCCTTTGGTGCCTTTTGGCCCCGTCTTCAACTGGACTCGTCGACAGAATCATAATTAAGAAATTGGTCCAGCCGGTCACACAATGAATGACGATAGGCACGATCAACCCACTTTCCTTGGTACGAAAAAGTCCAGGTAGTTGGGCCTCCGAGGTTTCGATTATAGGGGTCCTGTCACGTCCCCAGTGTCATTTCATGTGATGGCTAGTTTCACTTCCAGTTCGCACCACTCCTCCACTGCGCCCATTGTCCTCGCTGTCTTTCGACTGTCTGTCTTGGCCCAATCAAGCCACCCTACCAACCGAGCTCGCTTTGCTCCTCCGTTCCGACCGTGTGAGATGCTGCTGCTGGGCAGCTTGGTGATAGGGACAGACTGAGCGAGAATAAAACCATCTGCATGATGAAGTGGAAAGAAGAAGACATCTGCTTGGAGTCAATACCCACGGTCAGAAAACCTCAGCGTCTTGCTTCATTGCCACAATCAAACCCACTGACCACGGTCGCAAACAGACTCCTGCCACAGACAGCACCGTCATCGCCCTGTCGGAGGTCGAGAAGAGCATCCTCGAGCAGCAGATCCGTGTCCCCGTATCCAAGCCCGGGTTCTTTGGCATTTATCGCTATGCCAGCCGGTGGGATCTAGTCTTCCTGCTGCTTAGCTCGGTCGCTTCGATAATCGGAGGCGCTGCCTTGCCGCTATTCACCGTCGGTTCACGACGCTATCTCCTGTGAAGCTCACTCATAACGACTAACCTCGTGGAACAGGTCCTCTTTGGTAACCTCACATCGACCTTCCAAGACATTGCAGCCGGGCGCATCACGTACGACCACTTCCACCACGAGCTCAACAAATACGTGGTCTACTTTATCTACCTTGCCGCGGCGGAGTTCATCACCATATACATCGCGACGGTCGGCTTCATCTACACGGGCGACCATGTGGTGCAGCGCATCCGCGTGGAGTACCTGCGGGCGATCCTGCGCCAGAACATCGCCTTCTTCGACAGCCTGGGGGCCGGCGAGATCACGACGCGGATCACGGCGGACACCAACCTGATCCAGGACGGGATCTCCGAAAAGGTCGGCCTGGCCCTTACGGGGCTGTCGACCTTCGTCACGGCGTTCATCATCGCCTACATCAAGTACTGGAAGCTGGCGTTGATCTGCAGCGCCACGTTGATCGCCTTGCTCTTGATCATGGGCGGCGGGTCGATCGTCATGATGGTCCACAGCAAGCGTGCGCTGGAGTGTCAGGGCCGCTCCGGCAGCTTCGCCGAGGACATCCTTGACTCGGTCCGCACGGTCGTCGCCTTCGACGCCCAGAACGTGCTCGCCGCCAAGTACGAGGCGCAGCTGCGGGAGTCCGAGGCGCCCGCCCGGAAGTCCCAGATCACCTTCGCCGTCATGGTCGGCGCGATGCTGGGCGTCATGTACCTGAACTATGGGATGGGCTTCTGGATGGGCTCGCGCTTCCTCGTCGATGCCCGCGAACACGTCAAGGTCGGCGATGTCCTCACCATTCTCATGTCGATCATGCTGGGTTCCTACAACCTGGGCAACGTCGCTCCCAACGTGCAGGCGCTGTCGAATGCCGTCGCCGCTGCATCCAAGCTCTACAGCACGATTGACCGGGCGTCGCCGTTGGATGCCTCCTCCGAGAGCGGCAAGATCCTCGGCCATGTCAAGGGCAACATCGTGCTGCAGAATGTCCGGCACGTGTATCCTTCGCGACCGGAGGTTGTTGTGACAAATGACCTCAGCGTCTATATTCCTGCTGGAAAGACCACAGCGTTTGTGGGGCCGTCAGGGTCGGGCAAGAGTACGGTCATCGGTCTGCTGGAGCGGTTCTACAACCCCGTCGCCGGCCATATCTCGATCGACGGACACGATCTCTATACGTTAAACCTGCGATGGGTGCGTCAGCAGATCTCTTTGGTCTCGCAAGAGCCTAGACTCTTCGCGACCACGATCTACGAGAATATCCGGTTCGGGCTGATCGGATCGGAGTACGAGAATGCGCCCGAAGCCAGCATCACCATGCGCATTCACGACGCCGCGAAGATGGCCAACGCACATGATTTTATCATGGCGTTGCCGAAGAAGTACGAGACGAACATCGGTGGATTCTCACTGTCAGGAGGCCAGAAGCAGCGGATCGCGATCGCGAGGGCCGTGGTGAGCGACCCGAAGATCTTGTTGCTTGACGAAGCGACTTCGGCGCTGGACGCGAAGTCGGAAGAGATCGTGCAGGCGGCGTTGGACAACGCCTCGAAGGGGCGGACGACGATTGCCATCGCCCACCGACTCTCTACGATCAAGGAGGCGCATAATATCGTTGTCCTGGTCCATGGGCACATCGTGGAGCAAGGGTCGCATTTTGATCTCATGGGCCGGGAGGGAGTGTACTATGACATGGTGCAGGCGCAGCAGATCAAGCAGAAGGAGGCCGCGAAGCGACACGAGTCGATGACGTTCTTCCTCGATGAGGATTATATTGGCGGCGGAATCCCCATGGACGACGAAGACGACTTTAGTGACGACGCCTCGGATATTGTGCTGAAGACCGGGGCGAGGCAGAGACGTAGGACCAGGATGTCCATGTTCATTCCGCCCTTACCATCCAAGCACAAGGAGAACCTGTCCCTATGGGCGTTGTTCAAGTTCCTTGCCTCGTTCAACCGACCGGAGTGGCCGATCATGATTCTGGGTCTCTGTGCATCGACCCTGGCCGGGGGCATTCAGCCATCTCAGGCGGTGTTGTTTGCCAAGGCAGTCAACACGCTGAGCTTGCCTCCGTTCGAATACCACAAGCTACGCCACGATGCGAACTTCTGGTGCTTGATGTTCCTCATGATGGGCTTGGTGACACTGGTTATCTATGCCACCCAAGGGACCCTGTTCGCGTATAGCTCCGAGAAACTGATCTTCCGAGCCCGAAGCCAGGCATTCCGGGTCATGCTGAACAAGGAGATCTCATTCTTTGACAAGGAAGAGAACACCACAGGCGCTCTGACGTCGACCTTGGGTGCCGAAACTAAACAGCTGGCCGGAATCAGCGGCGTCACTCTCGGTACCCTGCTCATTGTCACTGTCAATCTTTCAGCTTCCCTTGTCGTAGCTCTGGTCATGGGCTGGAAGCTTGCTTTGGTATGCATCTCAGCTGTGCCAGTCCTGTTGATGTGCGGCTTTCTTCGCGTGTGGATGCTGGATCGATTCCAGCGTCGAGCGAAAGCTGCGTATCAACAGTCTGCGAGCTCAGCCTGCGAGGCGGCCTCTGCCATCCGGACTGTTGCTTCTCTTACGATGGAGAAGCAAGTTGTCAGTTCCTACGAGAAACAAGTACAAGCGCAGCTCAAGGAGGACATCCTCCCCATCTTCAAGTCCTCCGCCCTCTATGCCAGCTCCCAAGCGTTGCCGTTTATGTGCATGGCTCTGGGCTTCTGGTATGGAGGAACTCTCCTCGGGCACGGAGAGTACACACTCTTTCAATTCTACGTGTGCTTCAGCGAGGTCATCTTCGGCGCTCAGGCGGCCGGGACTATCTTCTCGAACGCGCCAGATATGGGCAAAGCGAAGCATGCGGCCGCGGAGTTCAAGAAGCTGTTCAGCAATCGGTCGATCACTAAACATGCTGAGAGCAAAGCTATCCATGTGTCCTCCATGCAAGGGTCGGTGGAATTCCGGGACGTGTCTTTCCGGTACCCGACCCGGCTGGAGCAGTCTGTGCTACGGCATGTCAACCTCACGGTCAAGCCAGGACAGAATATTGCACTGGTAGGGTCGAGTGGTAGTGGCAAAAGCACGATCATTTCCTTGTTGGAACGCTTCTACGAGCCGGTGTTGGGTGAGGTGTATGTCGACGGGCGGGACATCGCAACGCTCGAGAAGAAGTCCTACCGCAGCCACTTGGCTCTGGTCAGTCAGGAGCCTGCTCTCTTCCAGGGCACGATCCGAGAGAACATCCTGCTGGGATGTACGCACAAGGAAGCGGTGGCGGAGGACACGTTGGTCCAAGCGTGCAGAGATGCGAACATCTACGACTTTATCATGTCGTTACCGTAGGTGATCCCTTGTCCCTTCCCCATTCCCAAACTTGCACATGGCATCGTCTCGACTTGGAAGCTCAGTCAGCTAACATCTCTCTAGACAAGGTTTCAACACGCTCGTCGGCAGCAAAGGCGGCATGTTGTCTGGTGGGCAGAAGCAGCGGATCGCCATCGCTCGGGCGCTGATTCGTAACCCTCGCATTCTTCTGCTGGATGAGGCCACATCGGCCTTGGACTCGGAGTCGGAGAAGGTGGTCCAGGCGGCTTTGGATGCAGCGGCGAAGGGCCGCACGACGATCGCGGTGGCTCATCGATTGAGCACGATCCAGCGGGCGGACATGATCTATTTCCTCGATCAGGGAGAGGTCGTCGAGTGGGGCACGCATAAGGAACTGTTGCGTCGACGAGGAAGGTACTATGAGATGGTCAACTTGCAGAACTTGGCCTGATGGGAGTGAGGTGTACGATAATAGGATAGGCGTTTGGATGATGGTTTCTTCAATGTACTGTAAATATATACCTCCGAGTTCATAATCATGGTCGACGATTGAAGCCGATAAGCGATAAGATAAGAAAGCACCGAACTCGGGACACGGACCCCTGCGTGTGGTCTAAACGGGAATAGTGCGGGGTACGGCTTACCTCATCATCTGGAGATGGTTTCAATCTTTTTCTTTTAGGAGATCAAAAGTATTCCCCGCCAACAGCCCCTGCAAATCCTCAAGTCACGCCAATTCACTTCGCCATGGCCCTCCCCGCTTACAAGACCACCTTCCTGGAGTCCTCCATCTCCGCCAAGGTCCTGACCTTTGGCACTTTCACCCTCAAGTCGGGCCGTCGTACGCTTCCCCTCTCCGAGATACCACTATCGGTGACCCGTCCCTTGCTAATCGAGGATCCTAAATAGATTCCCCCTACTTCTTCAACGCCGGTACCTTCCACACGGCTTCGCTCCTCTCTGCCCTCTCAACCGCCTACGCCCACACCATCATCACCTTCCTCGCTGAGAACCCATCCATCCCCAAGCCCGACGTGATCTTCGGGTGAGTTGAACACCGCACAACCCATCCCCCAAACACAAACCACTCCGCCGCATACACCCACGTCTTCTTCTCTTGATCCCAATCTCTGACCCCCATCCCTTCCAAACAGCCCTGCATACAAAGGCATCCCACTCGCCTGCGCCACCCTGCTCGAGCTCCACCGCCTGCAGCCCGACGCCTGGGCCGAGGTGTCCTACAGCTACAACCGCAAGGAGAAGAAGGACCACGGCGAGGGCGGCAGCATCGTGGGCGCCGGCCTGAAGGGCAAGAACGTGCTGGTGATCGACGACGTGATCACCGCCGGCACGGCGATGCGCGAGACCCTCGACCTGGTCGCCCAGGAAGGCGGCAAGGTGGTCGGCTTCGCCGTCGCGCTGGACCGCCAGGAGAAGATGCCGGGTCCCAAGGACGCCAGCGGCGTGGAGGACGACGCGCCGCGCATGAGCGCCATGGGTCAGATCCGCAAGGAGTACGGCGTGCCCACCACGAGCATCGTCACCCTGGATGATCTGATCCGGTTGATGCAGGAGAAGGGCGCGGGCGAGGATATGCGCCGGCTGGAAGAGTACCGGGCTAAGTACCGGGCTAGCGATTAGGGGGGGGCTGTCTTGGCTCACGAAGGTGATTCTGCAGAAGAAAAGTGGAGGGATGGCTTGGGAGGGAGTCTTGTCTATGGTTATGCTATAGCTTAGGGGATAGCATCAAGTTTTTCTTTTATCGGATCTTCGGTATGGATTGAACGGGCTTGGTTAAATCAGATCAACCGGTCCATGCTCTCAACCACTCGATTGGAAAAAATAACGATTCCTGCAGAGATTTAAATGACGCATGTTTCAGGGGAATTTGTGTCGGGTTCAAATGCTTCGGGGATTTCTCGTTCTCCCTGAAGCTCGACAGCGTCGATGTTATCATATTATTGTTCGGAGTTGCTCCGGAGAAAGCTCGGCACCGAACCATCGCCGAGCTTGCGCCCTTATCTTTGCCCATCGTCCCTTCCAGACTCTCATCGACATCTCTACTTACTTCATGAAAGAATGTACCACAACATATCGCGCAACTGTGGGCTTTGATCTTGCGTCATAGATTAGTAGTCCTGATTGGGCTAGTTGCAGCTTGCAGGAGCAGAGTTTTCATGATCACAAATCTCTGCAGCTTACACGAGCTGGATGACAACACATCTCCGACCTGAAGCTATGCTCCCAAGGATTGATTTCACATTTTGAGGCACTTGCATTCAATCTTCGCCGGCTAAAGCTTCTTGAGCACTGTTGTCTTCATGTTTATATGAAGATTCGTTATGAAGATCAACTTATTGCACAAACAAACACGGCATCTGGTCGACGCGGCAGGGATCATTTGATCTGACCAAATCTCAGCTGCAATCCCTGGCTCAGGGTCAATCTGATGCAAGATGCAACCCGAAGCCACGAAACAGGGACGATCTAAGACCGAACCGGCTCTGAGTCACCCAGATGGCGTGTGTTGGCTCCAAACCGGGTAGAGTATCGAACGGTTCAAGCTCGGTGCGTCTCGGTGATGGATCGGCGATGCGTCGGCCTCGCTGCGTGCCTGAACTATACGAATTCAACATCCAAAGATATAAATCAACTCCTTTCCTATACATAATCTGCTTGTCTCTCTTACAATAGCACACAGAAAGGCATCTCAAGTCCACAGTCTACCAAAGCTCCAGCCATCTCATTCCATACAACCATGGCACCACCTATGTCCGAGCCCCAACGGGCTATGAGCAATGCATCAGAACAACCACATCTTCTTCGCACAGAAACTCGAGAGTCCTTAACAAACCGCGGAATCTCGCCCAGCCCTCCGCCAGTCGACTACAACTATCCAGACGTCGGTCGGCCTGCCGACCCTGTGTTCCCGGAGGAATATACCATCGAGACCAGCACGGGCCTCGTTCCCAAACGCACGCTCGAACAGATCCGCTCGCGTCAAGACCGGCAACCGTCGTCGAGCTCCTCCTCCCCGGACCTCGAAAAGGCCGATGACCAGCCTACCGAGTTTGTCACCTTCACCATCAACGATCCCGAGAACCCTTACAACTGGTCCCGTGCCTATCGCTGGTACGTCACCATGGTCGCCTCCCTCCTCGTGGTCTGCGTCGCCTACGGTTCCGCAATCGTAACGGGCGGTCTGGGCCTTATTGAAGAGAAGTACCACGTCTCTCTCGAAGTGGCCACCCTTACCTGCAGTATCATGGTCTGCGGCTTCGCTGTCGGTCCCCTTCTCTGGTCCCCCCTATCGGAGATTATCGGCCGGCGGCCGGTCTACATTATTTCCCTGGTGCTGTACACGATCTTCAACATCCCTTGCGCCCTGTCGCCCAACATCGGCGGACTGCTGGCATGCCGCTTCCTCTGCGGTGTCTTCTCCAGCTCCGGCCTCTCGCTTGCAGGCGGCACCATCGCGGACATCTGGTCCATCGAGGAGCGGGGCATGGCGATCGCCTTCTTCGCGGCAGCCCCGTACTGCGGCCCCGTGATCGGGCCCATCGTCTGCGGCTGGATCACGGTGGGCTCAGGCCGGCTGGATCTCTTCTTCTGGACCAATCTGGCCTTCGCCGGGGCCGTGGGCATCCTCGTCGGCCTCGTCCCGGAGACGTACGCGCCCGTGATCCTCAAGCGGCGCGCGGCGCGCCTCCGCTCCGAGACGGGCAATCCGCACATCATCACGGAGCAGGAGCAGCACAAGCCTTCCCTCAAGGAGATCGTGCGCACCTCGCTGATCCGCCCGATCACCATGATCCTCACCGAGCCCGTGCTCGACCTGATGTGCATGTACATCGTGCTGATCTACTCCATGCTGTACGCCTTCTTCTTCGCCTACCCGGTCATCTTCGGCAAGCTGTACGGCTACAACGACGGCCAGATCGGGCTGATGTTCATCCCGATTCTCATCGGTGCCGGCTTCTCGCTGATCTTCACGCCGCTGCTCGAGAAGCAATTCCACCAGATCTGCAGCCGCCGTGCCCCGACCCCGGAGGACCGACTCATCGGCGCCCTCATCGGCGCGCCCTTCGTCCCCATCGCGCTGTTCATCCTCGGCGCCACCTCTTACAAGGGCATCATCTGGGTGGGGCCCGCCTCCTCCGGGATTGCCTTCGGGTTCGGCATGGTGCTCTGCTACTATGCCGTGAACAACTACATCATCGACAGCTACCAGAAGTATGCGGCGTCTGCGCTGGCGGCCAAGGTCTTCCTGCGGTCTGGCGGCGGTGCGGCGTTTCCGCTGTTCATCACGCAGATGTACGATCGTCTGGGACTGCAGTGGGCGTCGTGGCTGTTGGCGTTCATTGGGGTGGGGATGGTGTTTATCCCTTACGTCTTCTACTGGTTTGGGGCGAGGTTGAGAGCCAAGCTCAATAAGAACTAGAGGGGAGAAAAGTGAGAGTTGTGTTCGCAGGAGATATGATTATAGAGTGAGAATCTGTGGTCGTTTGGTGGGGATTATAGATAATGTACAGGCTTAATAATGTTAATGGTAGTTATGATAATAGATAGAGATTCAAATGCATGGTTTATTGGTTAACACGCTTTTTTCTTCCGAATGATCTCTGTCATCTTATGTGCAGTATCAACGGCGAAACAATGAACTGAGGATTGATACTTAGGCAGGCAGGTTGTTCCAGGGTAATGGCTGGCACGTGGGGCAAGATGTCCATCACGAATGGCTGTTTCAGTCCATGAACTGTATAATCACCAAACCTAATTTTTTACTATAGCTTGGATGAGGCCGGAGATCATCATCTCAACTATGAATCCTGGGTTGGTACTGGAGTGCAAGGGCAGATAAGCTATGGGATGATAACAACGGTCTGGCCAATGCATGCTCGAGCGATAATGAGCTGATTTTTGTCACCGAATGGTCAATCCTCGCGGCTTCGGTGCTATTGTTGGATACTAAGAGTGGGGGCCTTCCCCTCCCAAATAGGCATGAGTAAGAATGAGTCATGCTGGCTCATCCGGGGTCAATTCCTTCTTCTCCGGCTCGGCGGGTGCGCTTTAGACGGCGATTTCAGCCTGGCCTCATCTCGTCTCATCCTCCATCACTTCGACTCATGATGATGGATGGTAGGGAAATATTACCTTGAAGTCAGATATGTAGCTATAAGATTGTAGGTGAACCATGGTAGAGCGGTATAGACTATAATGATCAATGATATGCATCATGAGTGTACCTGAGTAAGTGCGTCTATTTACTGTACTGTGTGTACTGTATTTCTACCCATTCTAGCACCATGAAGAAACCCCCCTACAGCTGACATGCTTCGCATTACTGAGGCGCTTGGAGAGAACACAATATAGGAAGAACCTCTCCAAGGTTCCAGGGCCGACATCATCTGATTGCTTTTGTTGTTGCTTGTTGTTTCCGAGATGTGATATTGATGGGATACTGCTAATGAGGATAATAGGGGTTTTAGCCACATTACTACTATGCTCTTTGATATATGAACAATAGCATATATCTCTACTCACACTGAGTTCCAGAGCATACTAAATACTGTCCCAAGCCTGCAAGGCAGTAATATCACCACCATTATTCCTCGACAGATGCCATCGCCAACAGCCGTATAAGTCACACCCAACTAAAATAACTCCGATAGAGCCCACCCCACCGCCCCACACTCATCTCCCAAAATGGAACCCGCCTCCCTGAACGGCCCATGATTTGATCCCCCGGCACCGACCGATAAGGTATAAGAATCCCCCCTCCCTCTCCCGCATTCTCCTCTCCTCTTCACCAACCCATCGCCTCGGCGAACAAGCTACCCCCCCTTCTTTCTTCTCTCCCTCCGGTCTTCCGGGTCGCGGACCCGGGTCCTAAGTATACAAGGATGGCAGTCGCAGCAATCAACGCTACGCACGCCGTCAGGCAGCTCACCCCGGCCGACTACACGGCAGGGCAAACCGCTTAATCAATTTCACCATTCGCCCCAGTACCCCGACTACTATAACTCCGACCTCCATCCCTATCTCGATCTCTCTCTCTTGCCTCCTGCAACGGCCTTCCCTCCCGTTGACTTTAACCCATTCTTCTTTGCGACCGATCCTCTCAATCAAACCTACTACCCCGATCTCACTACAACCACCACCACTACTACCCACAACCACTTGGACTTGAACTTCGACTTCGACTTCGACATCAACACCCTGGGCGACCTCGCAGACCCCGTATCAGACTCTGCGATTAACTCGCTGCTCAGCTCCCCGGATAGTCTCAGTGAATCCTACCTCTTCGAATCGCCAAGCGTGCAATCTCTACCTGGTACGTTTGCTGCCCTATCCCATCTCCGAATCAGCAAATCAAGCATACTAATTGCAGGACAATAGACCCGCAAATCCAAACCCCACCCCCAATCTCACAGCCACAGCAACAACCCCAGCAACAAATGCCCGCCGTGACGACGGACCACCCCTCGACCAAACCAACCTTCACCGTCACCCGGGTGGCAACCTCCACCAAAGAACCGCCCAGCAAAGTGAGCAAGCGGCAGCTGAACACGCTCGCGGCGCGGCGGTACCGACAGCGCAAGCTGGACCGGGTGAACGAGCTGGAGGCGGAGCTGGAGGCCGTGAAGCGGGAGCGGGACGAGCTGCGGATGCGCGTGAGCAAGCTGGAGGGGGAGACGGAGGCGTTGCGGGGGATGGTGGGGAAGAAGTAGGAGTAGTCTTATCCACATATTCACATCAAATAACTCGTTAACAATCACATCCATATATTACCCTATTCTTCTAAACCAATATCAACTAAATCCACCGCCCATCCCTATCCCCATCCCTTTCTAGAAGCAACATCTCCTTATCCACGCCATCCTCCACCACCAACCGCCAGCCGCCCGCGACCTGCTCCCCGCCTACCAACCGCACGGGAATCCTGCCCACATCATCCGCGGCCCACCCTTTCTCCGCCGCGCGCTCCGCGATCCCGCGGCCCCCGTTCGACGCCGCCGCCACCACCATCTTCATCTCCATGTAATCCCACCGCGGCAGACCCCGCCACAGCCGCGTGCGCCCCATCTCCGCCGCCACGACCAGCAGCAGCGCCAGCGAGGTCCCGAACACACAGACGATGTACGGGTGCGACCCGACGCGGAACGCCTCGACCGTCACCGTCGCCGGCGTCAGGCGCGTGAACCCGCCCACCATCAGCTGCGCCGACGCGTAGCCGGCCAGGATGTCGTCGATGAGCGAGATGTACACGTTCGTGATGCCGGCGAGGGCGATGGCTTCTTCGGATATGGTGGTGGTGGTGGTGGTGGTCACGGACGTGCGATAATCGGCGATACTGGTGTTGAAGGCGTCGCCCAGGGTGGAGCGGTAGAAGCTCGTCAGATCGTTGGAGATGAGTTCCAGCTGGCGCATGGCGACGTGGATGATCTTGTTGGTGGGGTCGATGTCGGCTGTCGCGTTGCCTTCTCCCGAGGTTGTTGCTGCATCATCATCGCGCTTAGCTAGTCCTACAGCTGCAGTAGCAGTAGCAGTAGCACTAGCAGCAGCAGCAGCAGTGGTATCCGCAACAGCAGAACCATCCCCCGCCGCCGCCCGCCCAACCCGTATCTCCTTCCCGGCAACCCCAACCACCACCTCAAACCACTCCGGCTCAAACACCAGCACACACTGACTCGCATTCAACCCGACATAATACCCGCCCGCCGCGACAGCCACATACCGGTGGCGCGTGTACGCGACCGGCTGCGCCGCCACGCCCACCGCCACGATCGTCCGTGTGCTATACCCGGTATACACGGAGTACTCGCCGCCGCTCCGCTGACTCGCGTTGACACTATCCGGCAAGGGACCGCGGGCCGCGTACAGCGCGTACTCGCCCAGCGCCTCCAGCCGGAAGGCGGTGGAGCGGTTGTAGGTGCAGTCGACGGTGGCGACGTACCCCGGTTCGCGGTAGGTGTAGCCCGTGGCGTGCGGGTAAGTGGCCCGCAGGGCGGAATCGGTGAGCCCGACCGCGGCGCCGACCCCGTACGAGCGCCCCGTGTAGCTGTACCCCGTGTTGTCGAGCTTGGGGTGCACGCGGCTGGCGTTGGCGAGCAGCGGGGAGGCCGTGCTGGCCGAGGAGATCAGCGCGGTCAGCTGCGCGAGCCCCACGGAGTAGGTGAAGTAGCCCTGCGGGGTGCGGGCGGTGGGGCCGGTGCGGTCGATCTGCGACGGGTATTCGAGGATGAAGCTTGTGTTGCGGTAGGAGGGGATCGGCAGCGGGTAGAGGTGGGTGGTGGTCGTGGTGGTCGGGGTGAGGGCGCCCGTCCAGAGGGCGGAGAGCACGGCGGAGAGGTTGGCCAGCAGGAAGGTCACGCACACGAGGAGCGGGGGCAGGGTCCAGTTCGCGGCCGGGGTGGAGAGCGAGGCCCAGAAGCTGAGGGTCGTGAGTTGGGTCTTTTGCGTCGCGTGGCGGTGGGCGAACCGGATGCGCGTCGCTTGGTTGATCAGCCGGCAGATGATGAGGAGTTGCACCGTGCTGAGCAGCGTGGCGAGCGCTTGCACGCCCGTCTGCACCGAGGTGCGGTAGCCGTTGATCAGCCCGTAGATGGATCCGTCTGCGATCGTCCAGTCGAGGCTGTCGGAGAGGAGGAGGAGGATGCTCAGCGTCGTCGGGAGCAGCAGCAGGAGGAAGATGAGGTGCTCTGTCCAGGGGACTGGTCGGGTGGGGCTGGACGATGGCATTGATGGCTATCTAGCTGCCTGCATTCGTTGAATTCGTAGCGTAGCTACAGTCTTCGGCCTGGTGAGGTTGTTATAGGGCTTACATCCCCGCTCAGCCCTAGCCGCCCGTCGCTCGCCGCCCCGGAGCCCCCGACGCTGGTCCTGACCGGCGCGTAGCACTGCTTGCATATTGGTCGTTGGCAAATTGAAACAGCCGGAGAAGTTTATCTGTGCCACATGGCGCGAGGCTGATCGAGGGGCAACCTTGGTCGTTCATCCACCTCAGGGTCCAGGATCTTGGCTGCGTTGACACCGGAGCGTGGGCCGTGGCTGTTGGATTGTGGTAGATACGTGACTGGTTGCTTTTGCCGCCGGTTTCTCATTAATAGCTTAGCTTAATCTGAAGGATGGCAGTGTTATAGATGACAGCATCGTTCGAGCCTGAAGTCAATTTCTTGCTATTCTATTGCCTTACCACTTGCGTTCCGAGATGTGGAAAACCCCTGTGTCACAATGGACTATGCCTAAGACTCACCTGTTTCGGGTTGGTGTGGGCTACCACCATGGATAGATACTCCGATACCTCTGTCTTTTGGATGGTATGTTAATACTGGCTGGTCAGTTGTCGCCCATGTAGTCCAGCAAGTGACAACAAACGATCATGATACCGTGGTGAGAGACTAGGTAGACCAGCTATGCCTCTAGCATACTAGCTCGACTAGAAGCTGTATAGCATTAATCATCAACAACCCACCATCTGTCAGCATCTCATCGATTAATAAGCAATATCATTCTATATGTCAGCAGCTGCGCAATCCCAATTCCATATAAAAGAAAAGAGCAAGTATAGTACAGTACATCCCCAGATCCAGCCTAGATTCGCCCCAGATCCACCCCAGCTCCCATCAAAGCCCACCGTAACCAAGAGTCCAAAACCATCACCATGCCTCTCGCCATAACCCTCACCTCCCCGCACACTCCAACTCTAACCACCATCCCCCCACCCACCCTCCGCCCGGGGACCCTCCTCGTCCAGCCCAAAGCCGTAGCCCTCAACCCCACCGACCTCAAGAAAGCCAGCTCCCCCAACACCCCGCTCAATCTGCCCCTGGGCTGCGACTACGCCGGCACCGTCCTTTCCATCCACCCAGACACAAAAACCGACTTCCAACCGGGCGACCGCATCTTCGGCTTCGTCTCCGGCTGCAACCCGCTCCACCCCACGGACGGGGCCTTCTCCACCGCCACGCCCGCCGTTGCCGCGCTCCAACTCCCCATCCCCGCGCATCTGTCCTTCGCCGAAGCCGCCACCTTTGGCATTGCCCTCACGACCATCGGCCAGTCCCTCTACCAGACGCTCAACCTCGCCCCACCAGACACGCCCCTCTCCGAACCCCTCCCCATCCTAATCTACGGCGGCTCGTCCGCGATGGGCACCATGGCCATCCAGTTCGCCAAGCTCTCCGGCTATCGGGTCTTCACGACCTGCTCGCCGCGGAACTTCGAGCTGGTGCGGTCGTACGGCGCAGACGAGGTCTTCGATTATCGAGACCCAAATGCCGCGGCACTTATTAACGAAAAGACCGGGAACCGACTGCGGCTGGTGATGGATACGATTGGCGGGGAGGAGGCGGTGGCGTTCTGTGACCGGGCCATGTCGGCTGAGGGCGGGGAGTTTGCGACCTTGCTGATGGACACCGTCATCCCGCGAGAGAATGTCCGGACGCGGATCACCGTGGCGTATACGGCGATGGGGGAGGAGCTGGAGTTGGGAGGACATAGAATCCCGGCTCGGAAGGAGGATTATGACTTTGCTGTGGAGTGGATGAGGAAGCTCTGGCCATTCCTGCAGGATGGTAAGATCAAGCCTCATCCGGTGAGGGTTGTCGAAGGGGGCTTGAAGGGGCTGGCGGAGCAGGGATTCGAGATTATGAAACAGGGGAGACTTAGTGGGGAGAAGTTGGTGGTTGAGGTGGAAACGGAGTAGGATCGTGTCAATATCCCTAACATGGTCTTGATGTTTGTACTGTATTATGCATACTGAGTAGCGATAGATGAAGTCAGTCTTCACAGCTCGTTCCGCAGAAAGTCGTCGGCCGTATCAGCTCCCGGGAAGTCCTCCTATGAGAGGCCCTTGAGGAAGTAAGCCCGAAGCACAAGCACAGACGGCAAAGAAGACGGCAAGAAAGCCTCTGTCAAAGCCCGTGAAATCCATCGTATCTTTCAACTTCTCGTACTGGATCATGAAATCTGGCAGGTATAAGATAGGAAAGGTGTACTGCAATCTCTCAAAGTAGATGTCGACCAGTAAGTCTGAGATGTATCGGGGAGGTCGCGTCATCTCTCTCGCCTGCGGCAGATACGGTAGACCGGGGCACATCTTATCGCGAGCGAGAAACGGCAGTCCTACCTCTGATCTTCTGATAAAGCTGCTCTGTTCACAAGATGTTTGATTACTTGTTGGTGACAAGCTTTGAACTGCCTCGATCACCATGTTGTTGGCTGTTCCACCAACATACCTGCAAGGTCAGTCAACAGCAAGTCGAAACATGTTTAGCTTGGTTTGTACCTGAGTCGGCCGCATGAGTCAGCCACCATATGACCCACTAGATCTGTGCTGGCTCGATATGAAGGTGGAGGGCTGACAGGATGCGAAGCAATAGGAGAGGCGACTGATGGCTCGACTCCTGCCTTATAGCTTGTCTTTTCTGAGAGGCGATCCGTAGAAAGAGCCGTAGCAGGCGGCCAAGACCCGACCGTTGGATATTGCCCGATCTGGTTGGAAGCATTGCACGAATGATTGGCTGCCTGCGCCCAAGTGATGTACTGGGAAAGTGTTTAGGCGAGGCATTCCAAGCGGATGCACAATTTATCCACATGTGCTGGCACCGTTCCTCCAGTGATGTTGCATAACTAAGCCAGAGTCAGTGGGGTTGCCATTCCAGGTTATCCATATAATTCACCGTCGACTCGTCGCGGCATGATCGTTAGACTCGGGGTACTCGCAAAGGTGGTTGCGAGACTCGCACATGAAGCATGGCTGTTCTCCGTCGCATTTGATCTTTTTGTCTGAACCAGCAGATGATATGAGTCGTGCACTGCATATCTGACACGTACTTCCTTCTGCCGGTAGGAGAAGCATGCCTTCCAGACTCGTCCATCAGGTTTCTTGGTCGAGGATGCCATTTGTCTGTTTGCTGCTGGGGCAGTTAGTGTATCGGAGGGGGGAGTGAGGGAAGGGAGCAATGTTCAAGACTCCGATGAGACGTCAACTGTTCTGATCAATTGTCATAGGAGGTGATCATATCTAGTCTCTCCCCCTCATATCCCGCCAATGGCCTCGAGAAGGACGAGCAAGACCCACTTATAATAAGTCACTTCTATAGAAGTGGCATCGTGGCTAGTGGCAGGCCTTTCCCACATCGCAGACCACCTACCAAATCGATTCAACGAGAGGCAATGAGCACAAGCCACGGTACGGAGTAGGGTCGGAAGGCATATGCGTGAAGGCACAAGATGCGAGAAAGTGAAAGACGGACTTTTGCACCAAGATGATACAGTCATTAGTAGAGGTTGTTCAGGGTCATGGTGCTCTGGTTGGTATATCCGGAGGAGAAGATTGAAGAAAGGAAGAATGAGTTTCGGCACCGGCTCGAGATCCGATCCGAAAGAGGCATATAGCACCACAACCACCACCACCACCATCATACCTTTCTGAGCATACCCTCTACCTACACAGCCTTCATCAAACCATGTCACAAGAATAGTTCTCTCAAATTGTCTCCACGCCCGACAAAACTCGTCTACAAGCCTCACTCGCAAAGACAGTCGCAGATCTCGGGGAAGACGTACGCCACTCTCATCTCCCCATCTTCTCCCATCCGAACTCGCCAACATTGTGCAAAAAGTGGGTCCTCATAATTTGTAAACATGGCAACATTGACGACAAAGACATGTATATTACCGCTCAGCAGTAAGAACCGATATGTTGGTCACTGGTCGTGAAGACGAGGGGGGAAGGTAGACGATTTCAACAAGAGAACCCGAGAATTTACCCTTTTTGCCCCCTTCTCAGTCTAAACAACGACCATCTCGAGACAGCAGCCGAGAAAACTCACTCCCGCCACCACCCCAATCCAAAGGCCAGAACATCCCGATGGTTCCTAGTGATTCGGTTCGCTGGCGGTGGAGGAAAGACGCCATCCCTCCCTGCCCTCGACAGCCCAACAATACATCTGCATAATCAATTAGCTTCTGAGACGGAAGATAGCTGGTGAACGTACATCAACCGTCGACCAGGATCAAAGAAGATCTGCTCCGTCTCCTGCATGAAGAAGCCCCACCCCTTCAGACGCATATACCTATTCGTACAAGGTTCAATCTCTGGTCAGTACACCTCCCCGAACAGCCGACAAACCCCAAGAAAGAAGCCTCACTCCAACGCATCAACAACCTGATCCCGAATGATCCGGTTCTCGAGATACCCGAGGCCGGGCATCTCCACGACACTGGTGCCGCCAGCGAGACCCATCGCAATCACCCAAACATGCCCACCATCTTTGAGGGGATTCTCGGCACCAGGCAGCTCGGCGCACCCGCAGTAGTTTGGGAAGTAGACGGATTCCCGACAGTCTTGTAGGGCCTGGCATTCGTCTTCGAAGCACCTCCGCGCCATGATTTCCTCGGAGATGAGATCGCGCCCACTAACTCCTTTGGCTGCCATTCTGATGAGCGATGGGTGCTGGTTAGATGTGAATGCGGATCGAAAATGTTCGAGGATGAGCCACGTACTGGTAGCGGACTTTCAGAGCGTATCGTTGCGTGTCGTGGGGGACTGTGGCTTCGTAGACCACCCATCGCTCGTGGAGCTCCATGTTGGACTTCTCGGATAGCACATCCATGATCGTGTATTCGTGGTTGTTGACGGTTATTGCTCGTCCGATTTGGGTTTACAAGTCCATTTTGAGGTAACCGTGCCACAAAAGTAGTTGACACGAGTAGGGCGATACTGCGACCTTGAGCAAGATAGTGGAGACTACTGTACAGGACAAGACAAGTGGGGAAGTTGTAGGGTCAGAGCCTCAGGAATTATCCCCGGGTTGACGTCGAACGTACACAATTGGATCAGCCCGGAAATACGAAGGGCAGTAAGTGCTCGTTGATTACTAGGAACAGGTAATGGGGCTATTGTTGAATAAAGACTAACAAATATTGCAGTCTAAGATTTGTATATCCCCAATACTGAAGACACCGGATTACATACAACAGCTTACAAGCTATTGAATTCACCGCATGATTCCCAAGCGCAGTCGACACCCTTTTCCCTCAAGGAATGTGCCTTGTCTTCAAATTAATGCTGAAGGTCAAAGGCACCTATGAATAGTGGTGAAATGGACCTTCCATTGGCCAAGGCTTGGTGAGTCTAACCTTAGGCTAGTTATGCATTTTTTATAAGGTCAAAGATGACCTGTATTTATCGATGGGTAAAAGATCGACGGTGACTAGGCGTTTGGATGCTGGCTGTCTTTTGTGGCCAAACAAAGAAATGTACCACCGCCAAGCGGAGTTGCAGGCTGTGTTCCTATGCTCAGGCTAGGCAAGTTCAATGGGGCATGCAGTGCTGTAGACTATCTCGCTAGCTAGAATGCCGTGACAGACACAGTGACGTGATCTGAGAGCAGTTGAAATATCCCATAATGAGATGGCAAACCATCATTATATGTACGTGCTTACAGCATTACAGCCCGCCAATAGCGACACGAACCTGGAGTCGACTGAGCCTGACTCGGTTTGATCAATATCATGCCCAGAGAATGGAGAAAATGAGCTTGAAGCCAGCAAATCGTGGCCGAGATCTGGACTCCCTCCATCAGAGACACACCAATAAGCTAGATCAAAGCGCACAAACAAGCACTCATGCATGCATCGGGTGGGAACAGGCCTGCTGCGTATCATCAAGGTTTCACGGAATCTGGACCCCTGGTCGGTTTAATTGATTCTGGTTCAGACTGGAGGGGGCTGGAGGATCTGCCGGAGGGTCCTTGAAACTTCCGTCCGCTGACTGTCATGTGACTGTGCGGTCAGTAGTTATGAGTTGATGAGTTGGGATAACTCGGAGGTCGGAAGATGCGGAAGAATCCTGTTGCGGGCAGTAGTATAGCACTCCGTCAGGATATTCGCTCCGCCCAGTAGGCAGAAGTAGGTGGCACAGCATCCAATAACGTAGCTTCATTTTGACCCTGCACCCCAAAATCAAGAAATATTTTGCAATCGAGCAGGGCGAGTAAAAAGTCTGTTCCTGCGAGCAGTCCCGGCGTATCCGCCTCAGGCCGGGCCGCTAAGTTACCGCCGACGATCCCCACCAGGGACTGGACAAATTATATCCGGCTGGGTGGTGCAGGCAGGCAGGCAGGCAGGCAGGCAGCATGATTGTCGAGTCTAGTGTCGAATCGACTAAGCGCATGCTAGTGAGTTTATTGAGTGGGGGGAGCAGTGTCGGAAAGTATGACGTGGGAATTGTGATTGTCGCATGGGCAGAGACAAAAAGCTTCACCTGTGCGAGACAGCGACAGTCCGCGCGGTGTTAGTGCTTATCGGCACCATGGTGAGTTTAGGGCGAGGGCCGATACTGTCGATCGTGCGGACAAATTACGTCGTTGGCCCGATGGGTGGCAGAAACGTTGCCGTTTCAAGGCCCCACGCTGTTTCAGGTTGGAAAAGCCGAATACGGCTGTTGGAATACGAAGCCGGGCTGAGCCAAGTGCTCAAGTTGATGACAAAGTACAATAAGATGAGAAGGGAGTGAAAGCAATTCTTATATCTGTCAGTCAGTCAGTCAGTGTGGTGGTATGGGATAAGTGTCAGTGAATTGAGGTGGACAATTCTAGACCGAGGAGTCATCGGAGTCCGCAGCAACATCATCTCCAGCCAATGATGAAGCCATCTCCGCTTGGTCGCTTGGTCAAGCTTTCGGCAAGGGCGGAGTGGTGGAATGGGAAGAGGGGGTCGATAAGATGAGAATGAGAGATAGCAAAGACTGAGTGCAATAGAATTGTCGCCAATGAGTTGATTCAGGTTGTGAATAAAACACACTCAATCTGTAAACAATCTACCTATCCGGTCAATAACAAAGTGAAGAAAAGAATGGGCTTATTCAAGTGCAAACCAGAGGCAGGCACCCCAAGGACTCGAAGCGCACAACAGTGGAGACGCGCCGACCGAGCAGAGGCTCACCCAATGGCAATGAAAGACGGCCGTCAGCCAGCTTGGAACACAGCCAGCAGGCCGCGTGGGCAACCATCGAGTCCATCCATCCATGACTGACTGCCCTGACCCGAAGACCCATGTCACTCTTCCTTCGATTTCTGCCTCTCTCATTCATCTTGTTCCAATCTGATTTATAAATAACAGTGGGCCCCCTTCACGCGTCCGAATCAGTAGTGGTCGATTTTTTTTTCCCTCTTTATCCTTGGATTGCTTGGATTGCTTGCTGAGTGGTGGTGCTATTATCTTCGCTCCGATTCTCCGATTAAATATTGTACTCTTCGCTCTCTCTCTCTCTGACTCTCGGTCGGACTCCTTCTCCTCCTACTTACTTCCCTTCCCCTCACTCACTCGCTCACACCACTCATCACCATCGAATCAGTCTGTGTCTCACACCGAAAAAAAAGAAAAAAAACAAACCATTCGATCGAGCATGCGATTATAAATCCGCACACACTTCCGCCTAGTTTTCCCTCCTCCTCTCCCAAAAATAAATCAACGACACTAGACTAGTCCCAATTCTAGTCAGTCTCCATCGAGGGTGACTCGGACCACCAACCTCCCCGATCGCAATCAAGCCCACCACGCATCGCAACGGCCGTGCCCACTACTATATATCTCAACACTACAGTACAGCAGGGAATTTTCCAGCCCAGAAACCCCCAGAATCGCAAACGACAACCATCGGGTGTCACCTCTAAACCTCCCACAAACCACAAACCTATACACAAATCAATCAAAATGGGCACCCTCAGTAGATCCGCCATCATCGTCATCGTCATCGTCGCCTGTCTCGCCGTCGTCGCGTTGGGCGCCGCCCTCTTCAAGACCTACGGCGGGCCCGAGAAGGAGCGGCCCTACAACTTCTCCCGCGAGCAGGAATCCTACATGCGCTCCGTGCGCTTAAAGAATCTGGGCTTCTTCCAGCGCGAGTCCATGATGGGGTACCCCGGGGCTGGTGGCGGTGGTGGTGGTGGTGGGAAGGGCCCTGCGGCGTCGGTCGTCCGGGATGTGGAGTCGGGATGTATGTTTCCCCCCCCCCCGGAACTTCCCTTCAGTCGGTTTTGGATCAAGAGGGTAGAGGCTAATTTTTCGTGGAACTTGCAGATTCGGAGAATGATTCGTCGCATTACTAGTTTCCGTCTTTTGCTGGCACCACTTTTCCGGAGGGTTCCGGATCTCGCTTCGATGAGGACGATACGATACCATTTTGCGAGTCCCTCAAGGAAAAAAGCTATTTGTGAAGCGCGTGGATATTGTATGAATTGACGATTATGGGGGTTCTTTTCTTTGATTTTCTCAAACCATTCGGGGTTTTATACTACCACTTCTGCTGGTTCTGATTTTCCAGCGGTGCTGAGGGGCTGGCGTTCTGAACTTGTCTATATGCTTTCTAGATTATACCTATCTGCCGTTCTTGTCAATTCGACTACTGTCTTATAGCTATTGATGGTGATTTCATGTTGTTTCAGCTTGACGAAGACCGGCAGGTTCAATCTCGTATCTTGTCACGTCCAATCATGGAAAAGTGCTCATGCTCTTGACTCCACAGGCTCACGAAAGACACTTTCTCTCCCCCCACACCCCCAAAATCACCCCCTCCATTCCCTCTCCAGGGAAATAATAACTTTCCGCCCTGATACCCCGCACCACAGCAAGTAGCGCGTCTTTCTCCGCTTGTGACGCCTCCCGAAACGCCTCCGCCCCTAGCACCACCGCCAGACTCGCTGTCAACGCTGCCGTTGGACTCTGCCGGTTGGCCACCGCCACCCCGCAGATTTCCCGCACTGTGGTACGGATCTCTTCGTCCAGCACGGCAAGGGCCCGACGGTGCGACATGCGGGGACGGAGCCAGTCAACGTGGGGGTCGTGCGTGGCAAGTAACAGGTCGATGAGCCCGAGGGATTGCGTGGCCACGATGTGGGTGTCATTGAGGAACCATTGCTGTGGGAAGAAGAGTCCTTCGGAGGGTGAGGCAGAAGTGGTGTAGATGGAGGTGAAGCTCGAGGGTGCGCGAGCCGCCCAACTTTGGCGGAGGTTGAGAAGGTGTTCATAGAGGGTGGATCTCTGGCCCGAAGATTGTTCTGGAGAATGCAATGGCGGGAAACAGTATTGGATGATATGCGCCCCAATGATGAGCAAATGGTTCGTCCAGACATGGTCTGGAGAGGTTCGGGTGGGGAGGTAGTGAGCCACAGTGGAGGGGGGTATGCGGAAGGATCGACGCTGAGAGATGGCCATGTGGAATTCCTGCCGGAAGCCGACCCAGAAGGCCGAGGAGCGGAGGCCATGACACGTCTGAATTGCGGAAGAGGCTTGCGCTTCGAGAAAGACTTGGAGGCCGCGGACGGCGGTGTCAGAGGGGGGATCGGTGAAGGGACCTGATGAATCAGCTGAGTTGCTCTCCCACGGGGCTAGGAATAGAAGAGATTGAGAAAAGCCATACTGTCAAGTTCTTCATAGAACCGGAGAATCACAACCGCGGCAAGCAAGTTCTCGTCCATGATCGCGTTGGGTTCCTGGCTGGCGGCACGTAGGCCGGCGATAGACCGACTGTGGTAGGCGAGCATGGACTCCTCGCCAATAGCAAGGCCTTCTTTCAACCCATATTGTTGTGTTATTGCGAGTTGACGTTGTTGAGGGAGAGTGCTGAAGTGTCGGGCGGATGCAGAGAGCATCGCGTCCAGGAGAGGAGCGCAGATGCGCGCTCTTTGTGGAACAACGACGGCAAAGTGCCTTTCCGGGTCACACAGGTCGAACTGATGGTGTGAGCAGTAGCCGCACAACCTTATCGCAGACAACGTACCCATAACCCCAGGCTCTCGACAAAATAACGGATAAGACAGGCCTCCTCTAGGCTCAATTGTGCCTGCGTGGCCTGAGTTTGTAACTGTGGTGACGGTAGATCAGCGGAGAGGGGAGTAGTGATTGTAGATAATCTCGATCCATCCCATATTCGTTCTGAGCTGCGAATGCCACCATGTTCGATCTCGCAGGTGGGATGAGAGGGAAACGCGTCAGTCTGCTCTGCGCCTATAGTCGTCTCTGCTGCGTATAGGGCCGCCAAGGCCGGAGTCTCATCAACGTATTCGAATGCACGGTTGCCTGTTGAAAGGTTAGCTGCGATTGTAATAAGGAAAAGAGCCATACTGGTAGTTAGTGTATTTGACGCATCAGAAACATCCTGCGCATATTCTGCGCTGGTAGTAATCAGGAACTGCAACTGTGGGCTGGAACGAATGCATTCTCTCCCAGCATTTCGGCATCGTTCGCATTTGGGGCGAGAGTCATCACCTGTGAGGCAGATGAAGTGAGTTTAGCATCGAATGCGACGTGATTATTCTGAGGATGATGCCTACATCGCAGGTGGTGTCCTGGGTTCAATGTTTAAGCGAGCTGCCCACAAGGGACAAAAGTTGAGCACCTACTTCGGCAATATTCACTAAAGCCAATGAGTAGTGTCCATAGAAAGAAGATACCTAGGGGAGCTTACCAAGGTTGACGCCTTGCTGGCATGCAAGGCAGAGAATCGGGTGGGAAGGAGTAGTTGATGGAGTGGAGGAGAAGGATCTCACAAATTTGGAGGGGTTCGGCGACGGTTGCCTTTTCGGCTACTCCATCTAACTGAGTGCCGGCAACCCCGCCCATCCACGGTTCAATTAAATCAATTAACGTACGGTACTTCCAACGATTCAACCGAATCTACCTCAAAGTTTACAGCCCATCATTGGGATCCCAGATCTTGAACCACCGCTTATCCATTTCCGCATCTCCTTCCTCATAGAAACGCAAGTCCGTACTCAACCGAATGCGCCCCTGCGCATCCTCGTTTCGCCCACTCGCATGGATGGTATACGGATGGTGGAACACCACGTCGCCCGCCTCATAATTAGTGGCCAGCCACTTCTGAGACCTGGAGGTCGGATGATCTAACACGAACTCGTCGGGCGACTTCGCCAGCATTCCACCAGCCATCATGTTGACGTTATAGGCGGAAAGGCGCTGCTCGGTCGTGAACCCAGCAGCGCGAGTGGTAAAATCCTCCTCAATCTCATTTCCCAGAGCTACAGATTTCTCCAGATAGCACAACCCTCCACCATTGATTGAGATATCGCCTGGATGATTTAGTATAACGCTCCATTTCGAGAATATCTTTGACTCACCAATTGGGACCCACGCAGTGAGGCAGTATCCATCGCCTCCGCGCAGAAAAAGCTTATCATAGTGAATGCCAGTACCCATCCCAAAAGGAACATTATGACGCAGCATTGTTCGGTCCAACAGGACATGATGTTTCCAGCCCATCAATAGCCGGATGAATTGCGTCAGAGCGGGATGCTCGACAAAGGCACGGTACTTGGAGTCGGAGTGGGCGTCAATAAGAATTTTAGCCTCGACAATATCAGCTGGCAAGCCTTGACCACCAATACCCTTGTGTAGATCGGGGTGAGACGAGCTGTTGAAGATACCATCCCGCGGGGATGACCCCGGTTGCAGAAGAGATGTGTTGGCGTAGGCTTTGAAGTAGCTTGACCACAGTCAGTAACAGAAATAAACCCCGAAGATTCACATGCAGGCAGCGCACTTACTTCTCCCTAGCGTCTAGAACATCCTCACGGGGTAAAAGTCCTTTTACAAAGAGGTATCCATCCTCTTCGAATCGACGTCGCAGTTCGTCCAATGGAAGCCAAGGTGCAGAGGGTCGCAGCAAACCAAGATTGTCAACGTCAATGCGACCACCGTTCTGCGCCAAACCTTGTGGCAGCTCTATCGCCGCATAGGAGTGAGGGTCAACAGAGTTTGAGCTAGGATGTTCAGTACAGGCCATTTCGTTTTGTTATCCAGGCTTCTGGTGTTGCGGAGACCTCCAGTTGCGCTGCTCCCGGGCTATGCCACCACTTATGAATGATGCATTGTGGACTTATTTCTAGACAGAGCCTTATCGAATTTTCTCCTCTCGTGCAGCCTCATGCGGTGTCGGCTGCTTTTGCATGAATCAGCCAGCATAGGAAAAGACAACCATGCAGTGGATACTAGGTAGCATGTTCGCCGACATTTACCATCTTGGTCTTTTCAGAGATTCTCGCCGGCGCTAACCGCTTTTGTCCTCGCTTGCGCATAATCCGGGGTAAGTATACAGCTGCATCGACATATATCAATCAAGTGCTGCTCGCGATGACCACAGGACATTCTCACAATTCAACTGAGCCAGCCTCATCTTCACAAATATGTATGCTTTAGTCCTCCTCATCCTCTGCTATCTTCTGTTTTTCTACTATGGCATCCTTCCCGTGGTCAACTACTTCCGAGACCCCAAGGGTCTCCGCAAGTACCCCAAACTCTCTTTCTGGTCGGGAATCTCGAGTCTTCCTCTTGTAATCGAGTCCCACAGAGGCACGCGATACAAGCGACTCTTCGAAGCACATAAAAACCACCCAGTGCTCCGCACCGGCCCCAACATGTTATCCTACGCAGACCCCAATGCCATCAAAGATATCTACGGTCACAGCACGAAATGCACCAAAGACCTGTTCTATTCCATCACAAGCGGCTCTCATTTCCACCTCGCCGATGTTGTAGACAAGAGCGAGCACGCCCGCAAGCGCAAGGTCCTGTCTAGTGCCTACGCGCTTCAGAACCTCGAATCCTGGGAGTACAAGGTCGCTGACATGACGCGGCGCGTCATCACAGCGTTCGATGCCCGATGCACTGATCCCCTCCCCAGCGGCTACCGCCCGAAGGAAGAGGATCTGACAGTCGACTACCGTCTGTGGACGAACCTGTTCACCATTGCGGCTATCGCAAACATCGGCCTTAGCGAAGACATCCGCTTTCTGGACCAAGGCAACGACCAGATCACGTCCGAGTCCATGGACGGGACCATCAAGCGCGTGAGTTTCCGAGAATGCCATTTCGCGAGCGGGTCGGCCACCTCGACGCTGATCTGGTGCTATGAGTGGTATCACACCCTCATCAAAGCCAGCAAGCTGCTGTCCGCCACGTTCCGCCGGAAGTGGCAGCTCAGCCGGGACTGGGACGGGATCGTCTACAGCCGCGCGCATAACCGGTGGAAACGGTACCAGAACGGGGAGCAGCTGGACGATTTCTTCGCCGCCATGATGGCGGATAAGAACGGGGTGCCGCATAACCTGGAATGGGGCGAGGTGGTCGCCGAGGTGAGTATCATGATCAACGCCGGGTCCGACACCACGGCCATCGCGCTGAGCAACGTCATGTTCCTGCTTCTGCGCCACCCGCACTGCCTCCAGAAACTGCGCGAGGAGGTGGCTGAGGTCTTGGAGGAGGATGAGGTCGTCGCGCCGTACGACAAGGTCAAACATCTCCCGTACCTGCGCGCCTGCCTGGATGAGTCGATGCGGCTGTACCCGCCGGTCTCGTTTGCGCTGCCGCGCCGCACGCCCCCGGAGGGGACCACGATCCTGGGAGAGTTTGTGCCCGGGAACACGTCGGTCGGGATCTCGGCGTATGTCGTGCATCGCAACGAGACCGTCTTCCCCGAGCCGGACGCCTTCAAGCCGGACCGCTGGCTGGGCGAGAAGGGCAAGGACCTGCAGCCGTACTTTGTGGCCTTCAGCACCGGCGCTCGGGGGTGTATCGGTCGCAACATCAGCTATCTGGAGCAGACCGTGTTGATCGCTTCGCTGGTGCACCGCTACGAGTTCGCCTTGCCTCATCCGACCTGGGAGCCCACGCGACATGAAACCACGAATACGGGGCTGGGACCTATACCCATGAAGATTTGGCGGCGGGGGGAGGTTCATGTTCAGCACTAGTAACGGCACGAGTCGCTAAGGTAGAACTAGATCTAGAAGCGGCGGAAAGGATCCCCCATGCGACATTTACCCAAGTACTTATCGAACACATGAAGCAATTGAACCGCTGTTCACGCTTACTTCTTCGTAGCGATACTTTAAGCCCCTTCCTCACCAGGGAGAATAATTTGCAGCCTTTTTCAATGGCATTGACTCGCACAAAACCCACGGGCTTCTTAAACACTGTACCAGAAATGCACATTCTCCGAATCCGTCATATCCTCCTCCGCATTCAACCACTTCAGATGCAACGACTGTCCCTTCGTCAACCCCATCTCCGCAATCACCCTATCGCTTCGGGTATTCTGCCAGATATCTACCAGATCATCCTTCAAGTCAATTTCACGACACGCAAGAGCATGTCCATCTCTCCTCCGCCCGGTCGCCCCCATAATTCAGCTCAATCGGGACAGCCTCCGAAAACACACTTTTGAGAACCGCGAAAAAAGGGTCAAGAATTACTACAAAGAAGAGGAAAGAAAATATCCTCAAAGTACGACCTCCAAGCAACCATCAACACAGTCTCGAGCGCATACATGACCCAACACACCACGATAGCCGGGATGTAGCGGGGCGCGTCCTTGTCACGAAAGACCTAGGCGCCGATACAGTTTCTGCGGCAATAGGCGATGCAGAAGACGGTGCCGGTGCTGGATTCCATGTTGCGGCCGGCGACGTTGGATGGGAGGAGGGTCCAGATCACTAATGCCGACGATTTCCAGAAATTGATGTTCGAGTCACACATACAAATCACGGTGCTAATAGCGAAGAATAGAAGGGGGAGACCGCTGCGCTGAAGAGTGTAGTTGCCAGGAGCTTCGCTGGCCAGAAAGGCAATATAGAAGGTGGAAGTCAGCCCTAGCGAGGAGTCCAGCAGTCAGCTTAATTACCATAGCCCTTTGAACTGTGGTGTACACCACAGTCCCGTTGGCGTTGGCCGGATTCGGTTTGGGGCATGGTGAACTGCCTGCTTACGCAGTATAACCCTTGTAAGAGAGAAAAGAACAGGGCCACATTGAAAAGGTTATCGCATTGGCACTGGGCACTTTGCTGATGGGCTGTCAAAACCCCTTCAGAGGTACCACTATGACGGGAGATTCTCTAGGGTATTTCGGGCATGGTGGTCGAGAAGCAGCAGTTGAAATCGCTGACGAGCTTTTTGTGAGCCTCGCCATCTGCCAAATTAAGTATGGAGCCCTCGCAGTAGTACACTGCTTGGATATACCTCTTTTCAATCTGGTTCAAGGATCAAGCCCATGGAAATATGGTACTAGACCAGTAGTAACCTCATATTTTGTGAAACCTTTGCAGGATGGGTAGGTAGTTGCTGGCATGGGAGGGGGTTGTGCATAATACCTCCAAAGCTCTGGTGTTTCTTGTTATGCTTATTCTCAGGTCAGTGAAGATTCGGTGGCTCATGTCTTCCGAAAGATCCGAGCTTTTTAGGCGGGCTTGTCGGATGGGTGTCAAGTGTGCCACTAGCGAGTATCGGCTGAGCCATGAATATCAGTTTCGAACTGAGAACTACGCTGGTGACTGGATCAATGAAACAATGACAACCGCACGATTGGAATACCTAGGCAGTCTCCTCTATTGTATAGACTACAGCTTGAAAAGCATTGTGGGTAAAAAGCGGTGGTATTTATTAAGGTGTGATTATGTAGACTAAAAATCACTTTTTAAAACAAAGGCAGTCTAGTGAAACGAAGAAAGTCCGGAAATGGGCCTACTCTTGCCAAAAAGAACAGAAGAAGAAAAGAGCAATTTCGCCCACCCTTGCATCCAACCATCCAGAGACTCGCTTAGATGATGGAACCGAGAGCAACGCAGGGAAGAGCGACACCGAGAAGGTCGTCGGACTGTTCGATGTGTTAGTTTAGAAGCTCTTCGGACATGAGGAGTTCTGGGGATGAGACTCACAGCATCGGCACCGCTGTATTGGCAGCAGGCAATGTTCTGCTTGCACTGCTGGTTGAGGATATCCTGAGCGGAGATGCCGATGATGGGGACTGAAAGGAGAAAGGTCAATGTTAGCATTACTCGTGTCTTGGGTTTCGTTTCTGGCTCCAGCAGATGATAGGATCGTTCTGGCGGAAGACATACTCTGGAGATCGAGCTTGGAGCACTGGTCGAAGAGACCAACACCCTCAGAGCCAGATCCAGTACCGGCAATGTTGCCGAGGAGACCAGCCAGAGCACCGTCGTCGATGGTGGTGGTGTCGCCGGCGTAGGTGGCCTTGTTGCAGCAGGAGAGCTGAGCCTGGTTACCACACTTGGCAGAACCCTGCTCGATGGTCCAGTCATCGGGGACGGAGTAACGGGGCTTGTCGCCCTTGTCGCCCTCAGCAGCGCGGACCTCAAGGTTGCGGGCGGAGGGACCACCGACGGCAGCGGTGGCGGTGGCCAGAGTGGCAGCAGCGAGGATGGCGAAGAAACGCATGGTGGTGGTTTGAGTTGAAGAGGGTTGGGTTTTTGGAGAATTGATAGATTGTTTGATTGGAGTGAGAGAGTGAGAGATGATGATGATGATGATGAGAAGGTATCGAAAACGACGGAGCAAAAGACGGTATATATGCTTTTTCAGAAGGTCTGTCTGTGATTGATGTTTACCTCTGCCCCAACCAACCCTTTCATTGTTTGGTAGACAGGATGTTGGTTAGGGCATTCCAATTCTCCGTTGCATTCCTAGCAAGGGAAGCTTTCCGGTTGCGGCGCTGGGGCGCGTTACAATGACGGGACGGCGTTGCACGGCACCCAAGATCTCGGACATCATGATTGCGATCGAATGTGACGCTGTCCAGAGCCCTTTCCTTTCATTGATCCCCTTGGTCCCTGGTTCAAATGCTTAGTTAGAGTTCATGAAGGGGTATTCGTGAGCACATCTTGTCCCGGAAACAGTGGCATTGACTTTTCATTCTGACTGGCATTCCACTCCTTATCGCGGGTCTTTGATTGTTCCAACAAGGGAGGGAAGAGAACGAGTCATAGAAAACAACAACAAGTATTCTAGCCCCAATATACTGAGCAAGAACGTGCATGTTAGCGGAGAAAGAAAAACTTTGTATGCTGGGAGGAAAATCCCTCACATGGTTATCCTCATAGACTCAATCTGTGTCTCGTCCTCTCCTTCCAATCCTAGCCTTCGATTGCCCCTTCGTACGCGCAAGTGATTCGGACTCTTCTTATGAGGATCTGCGGGTGATGCAGGACTAGCTCAATTCCTCTAGAGCGAGTTTATGCATCTCGGTTGACCTGCATTTGCATTTTACTACCTGCTGGGGGAACTTGCCCAAAAAAGACTATATTGTTAAGCTCAACAATGGAGTGCAGGGTGGAGTGCGTGCGGATCGGAGAATATACTTTGCGACGTTATGCTCGATGGCTCAGTATCGACTTACTTTACCCTGACAATGTGAACGATGGAGAAGTCTGCACACATGTGCGCTGTAACCACTCTAAGAAGTACTTTGTCATTGTGGAGGCATAGTATGTAGTTGCACACTCGCATCAGTGGCTTCCGTAGCCAAGGCCGCACCAACAGTAAGTAAAATCGATGCTTGGTGATTTGGGCGCTCCGCAAGACTTTGATCGGTCGCTTTGCTCGTCTGAATCTCAAGCGTCCATACAATGGTACTCCCTTCTATGAATTCCGCAAATTATATCGTCCAATCATGCGTAGTCACTCATAGTGCGTTTCTCTCAATGTATACTGGGCCGGATCCGATAGAAAATCCGGCCAAGACTCGTGTTCCTAAAATAATAGAGTAGTCATCCATCTAACTTTGAAGGACTGCGCCTTGTACCTGAAGATATAGTTATTGCGTGATCAAAATAAAGTATGGCGGCAACTGATCGCTGGGGTGAAGCATGCATGCTACCGGCTTGTTGTGTCGACACATGGTGGTTGTGGTACGAAGTAAATATATATCGATCAAGCCACATGCATGTGGACTATTCAGGTGATGGGATCTTGAATTATGGATATTTCCTTTCATCTAGAAGAAAAGTGTACCGATGAAGGATAACTTGTTAAGAACTCTGCATAATAGAATTACTTCAACATGCCCAGTATCTTCCCAGATATAGTCCATGACGATAGATTGAGAAAGAGCCGCGTGATGATGATCATAAAAGTCACGGATGCCCCAGGCGCCAAGGCGGTGAGAAGCGCAACCTCAACCGCCTCCCCGCAAGCTTTCGGCTGGTCATCGACGTCAGCCTCACAGAACCCCCCGTCGTCGTCAACATGAAGATCGTTTACATCGGAGTGAGTGCTCCTCATCTCTTTCTCCTTTTGTTACGACTGTCTCTAACGCCTACGCCGATTTAGATCCTCCAGAATGGCCAGGCTCCCGCGGTGGAGCTCTGCGCAGAGCGTGAGCTTAGCAGCTACTCGCGCTTTACCAGGGGTAGCATTAGCGAGTTCATGACTATGTTCAGCAAGACTGTCGCCGAACGCACGAAACAAGGCCAACGACAGGATATCCAAGAGCAAGGCAAGTCTTCCGCCCGCTACATCGAGATCTTTATCCATCTATTCCTATTCGACCATCAGCCCCTGACCGCCAGACCGCAGACTTCACATTCCACGTATACGCGCGCACCCAGGGTATCGCCGGTGTCATCATCAGTGATAACGAGTACCCTTCTCTCGCCGCTCACCAGGTCCTTTCCAAGACTCTTGACGAATTCCTCACCCTCCACCCGAACGCTGGTTCCTCGCGGGAACCGATCTCCTTCCCCTCGCTGAAGACCTACATCCAAGCCTACCAGGACCCTCACCAGGTGGACAGCATCCTCAAGATCCAGAAGGAGCTGGATGAGACGAAAATCGTACTTCACAAGACCATCGAGAGTGTGAGTGGATGGTCCTGGGTTGCAGCAGGTGGCTAGTCAGGTGACAGGGCTGACTCTAAACTAGGTCCTCGAACGCGGCGAGAAGATCGATGATTTGGTATCCAAGTCGGAGGGTCTGAGTGCACAGTCGAAGATGTTTTACACCTCGGCGAAGAAGCAGAACTCCTGCTGTGTGATCATGTGAGGGCGCATGGGATGACCCCGACTCGAGTCGCCAGTACAACCCCGGCGGAAATACACCAGCGACCGATTATCATGACTTCGTTTTGAGAGCGTTTTTTGTTTGCTACAGGGCGTTCGTTTGCAGTTCTGGACCAGTATTGCTTGATTCATGAATAGGGATGGGAACACCCGGGTGCTTCGAATTACGGGAGAGAAAGGCGGGGGAGGGGGGTTAGAATAGGCATTCTTATTTGCTTTAGGGCCGAAGAGCAGCAGTCAATGCAGTGTGGGCTTTGATGATTTGACGCCGCTGTACCGAGAAGGACAGCGTAGCGACTCAACTGGAACGTACCGCCGCCGTAATTATCTCCGCGCTCATCCCCCTCTATTTTTGCTCGTTTCGCTGTTTTGGTCATGGCGGTGGATCGGGAAGAGGGGCATATCGACGGACCATCCTTATCTATTGAGGAAGGGCGATGCTGGCGGTGGTGATTGGTGGTAGGTTCAAGCTCACAAGTATTAGACTTATTTATTGCAAATTAGTGGGTGATTATCAGGGTTACGAACCCACTGATCCCCCAGTCGGGCCTTACCCGTGGTTCCCGCCTAGGAGTTGGGAATGGCTACATTTCGGCCAATTCTTCTACCGTGGAGGTGATTTTGGGCAGTGGAAAGTGCTGGGTAGTAAGCTAGACTACTGTGTGAGTACAGTTGCGAAAGATCCAATCTATACAAGCTAACTTTTCTGACTGCAGACTTCTTGCCAGTCAATCAGCGGTGAAAAAAGAGTCCGACTAAGCAGCCCTGAGGCCAGCCTCACGCCCCTCGTCTGGTCATGGCCTAATAGCGAACTCCACCCCCTGAGGACTGCCCCTCCCCCCTCTTCCTCACCTGCACTTCACCCAAGTCGTGTTCGTCTTCTAGAACACGATCCACACCCACAACCAACAGCCTCAGTTTCCATTATGTAGCAGCATCGGCCTGGGGCTGCCTATCATTTTTTATGCCCGAGGCTACCCGGGTCCCGGCCCGGTTGGCTTCCATTGGTCACACCCGCCGAAGATGCCCTCGCTCCGAACGGATATTGTTCCTTGTTGCCAGCCAGTGCCAGTGCTTAGGTATCGTGCACTGTGGGAATTCTTGACGTTGCTCAACCTTGGGATACGCCCATTACCTTATTTTGTTCGGCTTTATTATTTTATTATCACGCTGGGCCCCCGCGGTGACCCTCTCCGTTTTGTCGCCCGCCTGCTACTATCATTCCTTTCATATCCAGTTCAGCGTTACGTTCTAGCGATTTGTATGCATCCATAGGTGAGTACTGCCCTATGCTCTACATTGCCCGTGTGCATGTCTGACTGACTGGATATCAGATACCCTTACTACTACACCATTCTTTCCACGCCTCTCCTTTGTTCATAGGATAGCCTGAGAATATCTCTTTTGTTGGAACCCCCACCGTCATTTTTCTAGGGCCAGGGGTGCCCTTCTACTCAACGTCACCATGGATCATGATTTCGTTCTCCAGCAAACGCTCCCGTGGAGCTTACAGCGCAATCGGTTGGCAGAACTTCTGACGGCGGATTTCACGGTTGCTGCAGGCTCAGCAGCTTTGGTCACTCCGGCCGTGATGATTCTGGATAGGTACAGCTCAACTGGCTTCTCGAGAGCGAATGCACCTATTGACTTCAAATTAGACTGGTAGTGGAAAAGTCCTCTCACAATCAACCTCTTCTGCCGGCATTTCGTCGACATCTGTGGCTCTCTATCACGCAACCTGCGACCTTCCTTACCTCGCGACCCAGTCTGCTCGTCTGGTCCCTCTACACCGCAACCTTTGCCGCGGCTAATGCCACCGAGACCGTCCTCAGCGAGGTCTATCCACACATCGACCACGCCCTTGCCACGACGTCGACCTTCTTAACCACGTTCGTGGTTAACTCCTCCGTTGGTATCTGGAAGGACGTCAAGTTCGCTCAACTTTTCGGCCACAACCACAACACCAGCACCGCGGGGACAACCACACCCCCACCCCCGGCAGCGGCATCAACTCCGGCGGCAGCAGCAGCAGCAGCAGCAGCTACCAAACCAACCGCTGCTGCAGCCGCCGCGGCATCCCAAAGCAAGATCCTCCGCTCTGTCACCCGCTCTATTCCCTTCGCTACCTACTCCGCCTTCCTCATCCGCGACGCCCTGACGATTTTCGGCTCCTTCAGCCTCCCGGCGATGGTCTCCGCCTCAATCCCAGACTCGGTGGCTTCGAGCGAGTACGCCAAGATCCTCCTTGCGCAATTGGCCATCCCAGCCTCGATCCAACTCATCAGTACCCCGATCCACCTGCTGGGGTTGGACCTCTACAACCGACGGATGGCGATTCCGGCCGCAGACCGAATGGCGCGGGTGAGTCGGGATTGGATCGGGGCGTCGCTGACGCGGATGTGTCGCATCATTCCCGCCTTCGGTATCGGTGGGTTTGCCAATACCGAGGGGCGGGCCTATCTCCATGAGCAACTGCGGCTGTCCGGTGAGGAGTGAAACAATCCCAACCACTTCGGATGGCCTTGTCTATCTCAACCACTAAGCATGCAAAATCCAATCCCTGAGTGACTCAATTGGACAGTCATCATAGAAACCTGGATTGTGACAACCACAAACAAACAATCGGGATTCTGCGACCGAGTTCGGCGATGACTCGGTGAAGAGGGGGAAGTGAGTCGTGTTTCCGGCGCGGGGCGGGGCGGGTGCGCGCGCGTGTTTGCCCTTCTTTCCTCAATCAGGTTAAGCGGCACGTGGTCAGGCGGAGATCTGGCCGGGAAACTCACACCGCCCGGCAAACCTCACTCCGCCCTACAAACAAAACAGGTTGCCCGACGCGTGATGCTTCTGGCCCTAACCCTGTCAAACTACTGTAACGGGCAATTATCGAGGCGGTGTCCGCCCCCCACTGCTCACTCACCCTGCCAGCCACCGACCGGGCCGGTGCAGGGCCGGATGAATTGGAACATCAACAAAACTGCCACGCCCTTCTATCCCCGGGATCATTCGACTGCCGGCATTGGGGATGCGAATCAATTGGCGGGGGAGGGGCTGACAAGAACCCTGCTCCGAGATCGGTAATTCTATAACGCGTGCAGCTTCGTCAGTTCTCGTCGTCATCCCAAAGGCACGACGATCAGCTACAAATAGAAAGGTGGACCTCTCCTGTGGCTGTGTCCCCCCCGGGTGGCAACGACATGTTGCTGTTTTTAGGCTATGCTGGCATAGTCTACCAGAGTATACTCGCTTGAGGTGACGATCGAACCGTTTGGGATAACCTCCTGTTTGTAGTATAGTATTTCCTACTGTTCAAGAATCTATACTTTACTACAAGTTCTCGTTACTGTAATAATCGCCGGTAGTGCTGCCTAGGTAGCTGACTGATCCCTGCCCACGTCTCTAACCCGCATGATCCAGATAGCCACCAGATAGCCACAACCATCCGCTGGCTGTAATGCCAGACTCTTGACTCTATGCCGGCAACGCAGCAGAAAATACCTCGGATGGTTGCCGATACGTTGCCGGTGTCAGTCACTCTCCCGATTTGATCCTCCTCCCGGCTCTAAACGAACCGCTACGGCAGATAAGCTGTCTTGCCAGATATTGTCCGGGTGACAGGTTTCCTGCTCAATGCGGCCGAGCTTACACATTTCATCCGGCTTCATTCGACATATAAGGTGCAATAATCCTGTCGAATGGTAGTGATAAGGTGTGCTGATGCGGACGGCTCGGATGAACTCACCAATGATAACATTACGGCTTGAAATGATTCTGAACAGAGCCTTTTATGTCGCTGCAGATGGACCGGAAGCCCAGACTCATCTCTTCTGTCATGACTTCCATGAGGAATGCAAGTCGTGCTGCGGTCATAAACCTCCTCCCATGTATCATTGAATGCTTACTCTTGCAAGCTCCCTCATAGTTGAGACCACATACTGGTAGTTCGCTGTACCTCTGGTGGATTGCAGCGTGCCTCTAGGCTAGGAGTTTGACTTGAATGTGCCATGGCATCATAATCATCCTCTACTTGTCAGCGGTTGATAAGGCCTTACGCTGGTTAGCTCATAGATTTTATTACAGTGCCTATCTCATGCCAAGTATTGGAAGATAGTGTTGATTCTCGTCTCTAACATGCACTTACTAGAGAAATCCGGAGACTACCACACTTTTGAAGACAGCGTAGGAGGATAACTCGGCATCGACTCACTATGCGCGGCTCTCGGGTTTTGTAAATGTAGCACTTTGTTTCATGTTGTCCTCTGCTCACATTCTATGGGTACTGGTCCCGCTGCACCGCTGCACCACTACATCGCATTGGTCTGCCTGTCTCCAGGAGAACTTCCTTTCCAGGTCTGGAGAGCACACACCAAACTAGAATTTCTTCCTCCCCTTCAAACATACAGTTCTTCCATGCCATCCAGCCGCGATGTCCATGGGGTACAGGTCCGGATACTATGATGGCGCGATATACCCCCGGGTGTCGCCGAGCATACAATGCATCACTGAGCAGGTTCATTCTGATCCTTTTGGCTAGAATTGCACCAGAAACAAAAGTTTCTGGCTTCAGCCATTCTCGTCCATGCGCTCGCGAAATTAGAGGAAATGCTTAATTGTGTAGCATTCAGGAGGCTGGAGTCCTGAACCTTCCGAGGGGCATTAGGCCAGTTGCATCCACGCGATCGACTTCATGGGACTTGATATTCACAACCGAAGGTTTGCAAGAACGCTTCGGAGTCAAATGGGCCAATCGGTTGCGAGTCTGTTAGAACTCGGGCTTGTAGCTCATCGTGTCTCCGAAGGATATTAGAAGTGCGGCCTCGACCTGGCCATCGCGATGTTCTTCTAAACTATGAAGAAGACCTACATCGGCTATCATTCATTGCCTCCGTACAGTTGACTCATATTGCGTAGCACTGGTTACCCCATCGCATGACAACTTGTCACTTCGCGAATGACCGTGGAGCAACCCATCCCTGACTTGTGAGCGGAAAGGACATCGAAGAGTGTAAAAGGCGCACCGCTACGACGGGCTCTCAAGGGAATAGAAGTGCGCATCGTGGTTCTCCTCTGGACACTACATCCTTCACAGACCTATCGATTATAACAAGTCTGGTTACTCACGGGTCGCATAGGAGCAGAATTGTCGAATCGTGGGACCCACGTCTAGGTTCGTGCCAATGGCATACTGTGAACAGCATCGCGTCAAGAAACCGGAGAGCTAAAGGCATCAGTTGGGGAGCGGCACATATCATAGATTGAACTGCCCCTCATAAAAATGAGATGTGGATGGAGGCAGCGCGGGCAGTGGAGGGTCCTTCCGGGTTGGGACGGAGTATTGTATCCGAGTCGGGGCTCAACTCTCTTTCCTCGAGTCTCTGTTCCCTTCCCTGAGGCGGAGGCTTCAACCTTCACATTCTCATTTGTGTCTCCTCCTGGTCCCACACCACCTCCGTTCATCTGCTTCTTACGTCTACTCCACTCGGCTCCGATCACGATCTGGTGGAAGAAGTGGGGGCATCCGGCCCGCTAGCCGTGTCCGAACTCCAAGATCACCTCACGAACGGGTCCCGCTGGACCACTAAGTATCAAGGGACCTACTGACGGAATGGACTTATTTAGAGTCAGTATTCTAGCTTCTGTTGAACCACAAAACTTCGGAGAGATATATCCAGATTGATAATTAGTCACAGAAGATGATATGTCAGAGATGCTCCACCCTCGATCTCTTATGTGGTGGTGTTAAGCTTATCGGGCAACCTTTCGGGGATCGGTCGAACGAACTGGATCGCAGATTTCGCCCGAACCGAAATCTAATATAACCTTTGGTTGATTCGACTCTGACAGTGACAGTGAAGTATAGTCCCTGAAAACCGACCACAAAAAGAAATTCAGGGTCAGAGCCAAACGTATGGAGAGAGAACCTGTGTCTTCGAAAAGTCATTGTCATTAGGTGAGGAGAAGTGCCTCTTCATGATAAACGCTGGATCGATTGGCTCCGTCGAGGCTGTTCGCGGAAAGTCTCGGCATTACGTAGCGAAATGTCGGTCTGATCCCATGTCTGACGCTATGATGTTCAGGATGGAGGGGGCCCGCCTTTATGGGTATGCATGTGTTGGTGAGGCGACTCACGTGCAAGGAGCTGTGAGACTCGATTGCTTCAGAAGGGGATGAACAAAAAGTCGGTAGTGCCTAACTACCTACTTCGGAATCATGCTTGGCTCCCTCTCGAAGAGATCCGTTTCCTACATCTCCATCATCCAAAACGCAGCTCTAACTCCATACACAATGCCACAATGTTTTCTGTAAGGAGCTTATGTCTAAGAATTGAAGGTAATTTTCTTGGCGCTCGTCGAGCGGTGAGCATCTTCCGCATCTCTGTGTTTTTGACGTCGATGGTGGTTCCAAGCGAAGAGGTTCCGTTGACTCAATGGGAATAACCTACGGTACTCCGAAAGAATGGAAACTAAGCTGTGTGCCAGGTCTTCTCATTGACTCTCGGTCCCGAGACACCACTTCTGTCACGAGTCCGGCCGTTATGAAATCATTCGTGGCACGAGGAATTCCTGGAAATCTATCATCCACCCGACACAAGACCCGAAACCATGCTTAGGCGGCATGCAGCACCAATGCACGAGGACGACAGACGCAGTGTGCGAAGCGGCCAAAGCCGGAGCAATTTGAAAAGAAGATGCAACAACTGATCAGGATGATGCGACTCTGAAAAGGACATGGAGAGTGGTGGGAACTGCCGAAGCCAGCCTGGGAGAGGGAAGTACGGAGTACTGTCAGTCAAATGGACTTTTGTCACTCCTCATCGGTAACAACTTGCAGCCCCTGAAGTCAAGGATTCTCGTATAGGTAAGATCTGGCGTCGACGTGTCCAATAAAGATGTGGAAGCAATGCATCATCGATCAATGTTTCTGCAATCTTTGGGCCACGATAAGCCCTGCTGTATCGACCGCAGCTGATAGGCTCATTAGGAAGCATGATAACCCCGGCACAACCTGCCGGAAATTGCCTAGCCAGCTGGGCAATGACCAAACGAGGTCGATCTGCAGCGCGTGATTGGTTCAAGGACCTAGATGAGTCCCGTGACTCTGGCCCCGCCTACGCGTCGAACTCCTAAAAGCGGGATAGTCTTGGACGTCACGGGCGGCGGAGTAGGACTTGCCTGATTGGGACGAATGGGCTGGGCCGGGCTTACAGACGGGGATGTACTGGGGTTACCGTCTGGGGGTACTAGGGGTTGTTCAGGGTTGGTACTCCGGAATCTGACCAAACGATGGCGTCGGTATAAGTCTTTCACTCTACCCTCATCCATTCACCATCTTCCTCTCTCCTCCCACCCTCTCACAATTCACCCTGAAACCATTTCAAGAACCCAGTCTCATCTGTTCGGTCGTCTCTCAGTATCATCTCAATTCTCCCTCCCCCCCCTCTCTCTCACTGCTCTCTTTCCTCTACTCTTGCCAGTCCGGTCGACTCCCATCAATAGATGGCGATCTCGCTTATTCCCCTCCGCCGCCATTCTCACGCATACACTATTGCCCTCTCGCAACCTATTCGCAGACACAGTAGGAATTGAATTGAGAATCCCATTGACCTACGTTCTGTTCTTGATATCTTCTTCATCAACGTCAACGTCATCATGGCAATCGAGGTCCTCCCT